AATATATACATTTTTATTGTATACAGTTCTTTTTTTTTTAAACATTAATATTCCAAAAATTTCAGCAACCCATTGAAAAGGTATTTTGGAAGTTTCTTTTCTTTATTTAAATTTCTTGATGAAAATTTCTTTTTAACTGTTTATTTTTTTTTTTTTTTATGATGTTATGTCATTTTTGCCGCTCTAAACAAGTTTTATAGACTTAGACTCAACTTTGTTTATCCCTTGGGATTACTCCTTCAGGGAAGTTCTGGTTCCAGTAGCTTATCTAGAGTACAGAGGGTTAAAGCAAAATGCCAGTAAAGATAAAAATATGACAGACAATATAAAAAGTAATTTTTAGCTGGACTGAAGTCAGAATTGAGTCTTTGGAGCCCTGATCTATCCTTTCAGCCTATAAGGACCCCTCTTTCGCGGTATGTCAACCGGATGTTTGCTATTTAACAACTAACATTTGTTTTGGTGTGTTTTATTTGGGAGGTTGTCTCTTGTTTTCATATTTTTTAGGGGGTTTATTATGTTTCGTATTTTGCCTGGTAATGCTGGTACCTCATGGTATGAATTGCTTATTTTAAAATAAATGATTGAAAAAAAAAAAATCCATTTCAGTAATAGCATCCTCTATGCACAGGTTGGTGGTACGAAGGCAGGAGTGGTGCGTTTTCTCGGACAAACCGACTTCGCTAAGGGAGAGTGGTGCGGCGTGGAGCTGGATGAACCTCTGGGCAAGAATGATGGAGCTGTAGCTGGAGCCAGGTAGGGTTGTGGCAAATAATCGTTTTGGCGATGTGTCGTGATATTCGGCTGCCCGATATAATATCGATCTTTCACTTCCTAGTATGGATTTAAAAAAAACAAAACATGGTTACCTTAAACAATGAGGGGAGATGGGCTACCTCTGCACCAATACTCTGACAGAAAGCTCTGTGGAGCCCTTTTTGTTCTGCGGCGAAGCACCATATCTGTATTTGAGGCGGTCACAGTGGAAGACATGGACTGAGTCCAACTCCAAATAACATGGATACCAATATTTCTAGATGATCAATATCTTCTGATGAACATATACTTGCTTTTTTATCTATACATTTAATTTTGATAGCTGGGGAAAATATTGCAATATATAGTGACATTGCAATATCGTGATAATATCGTATCATGACCCAAGTATAGTGACACGTATCGATTCGCAACGGCCATGCCAATACTCACCCCTAGAGCCAGATGAATAACCCTGGGTCTACTTATGATCCAATTAAACATTCACTGATTAGAATCTATTTTCCTATTTTCTTTTAAACGTAGGGAGTATTTATTTAAGCCTAGTCGTAAATTGTAAAATGGTTTCTTCCAAGCAAGTCCAATAAGGTCAAAATCGTATAAATGTTTCAAATTTAAAACCGATAAATTCTGTATTATGAGCAAGATTTACACCTATTTCGAAACATTGTAGATTAGAGCGGTTAGCTTTTATCTGTGGAGCCAACAAGCTGCTTCTCTCAGCCCACAAATGTAATATAAAACAGAATTAAACAACAAACACAAGTACCAACAGGGTACCTGAGCCCACAGCAAACTGACAGTTTGGGACATCTTGTCCCCCCCCAGGTATTTCCAGTGCTTGCCCAGGTATGGCCTCTTTGCTCCCGTCCACAAAGTGACACGGATTGGCTTCCCCTGCACCACGCCGACCAAGGCGAAGAGCTCCCGGAGGAGGTCCACTCTCAAGAGGAGTCCAAGTGCTTCGTCCATCAGCTCCCTTAGCTCTGCCACCTCCTCCATCAGCGGCAAACCAAGCAGGGCAGGACTGGTAATGTTGGCATTAAACATTATCACAGATTTGATCCAAAGTATAAAGTTTCATATCTGAATGCTTGGATTGGGTTAAAAGCAACACAGTCTGCTTAAGAAAATAAATAATTGTGATTTTTTTTTTTACTTTGAGAAAAGATAAATTAATTATTTGTCTAACTTAAATATCAATAGAGACTTCTTTTCTAGATGAAACTTGGAAAAATGTGCAAAGATAATTGGATCAATTGGGCCTCTGAAATAGTTCTCTCCCTCTAGCTTCTTAGTAGCACCAAAATTAATCTTACGATGTTATATTTACTTTTTTTTTCTTGTTTTACCCCAAACTTTTACAAACCCACATGCTGAAATTTGTTTACTTTTTGTTTATCTTCCAGTTGACCGAAACATCTGTGCGCTACGCTCGGAAAATTTCAAGTACCACAGCGCTGCAGGAGGCCCTGAAGGAGAAGCAGCAGCACATCGAACAGCTGCTGCTAGAGAGGGACCTAGAGAGGTGCGAGGTCGCCAAAGCAACCAGCCGCGCGGGAGAGGTGCAACAGGAGATGGCCGTGCTGAGGAAAGGGCGGGATCAGGTGAATTTTCTACAGTTAATGAAAAAAAGAATTTAATAAAAGCAGCTTGGGGTTAGTTAAAATGTAAACATGTGGCTCAGAGGATGGAATAAGGTAAAGCTAAGACTATTACTGCTAGTTAATAGTAAATGAGTAGCAGCTTAGCAGTGAAATTAATATTCCCATTCCATAAAGTGCAGCAGTGATCAAATGTAAACAGTGTGGCAGAAAAAAAAAAAAAAACATGGTGCAAAAACACATTGATATGGAAATTCAGAGCATTGCAAAGACAAATATATATGGTGCAAACTTGCAGTGTTTTGGTTTGGTGGAATGGGGAATCATGTTTGTTTCAGTTTCTCAGAAAATACACAGTCCTTTAAAGAGCGAGAGAAAAACTACAATCTTTAAGAAAGAAACTATGTTCTGAAAGAGAAATAAATTAACTACAGTCTGAAAAAAGGAAGCAGAAAAAAAAGGAAAAAGAAAGAAACTACAATCAGAAAGAAAGAAACTACAGTTGGAAAAGAAAGCAGTCTGGAAAAAGAAACAACAGTTTGAAAAAAACAAATAAAAAACTACAGTCTGAAAAAAAATAAGATGAACTATTGTCTAAAAAAAGAAACTTTAGTCTGAAAAACAAAAGATTAAAGAATCTACAGTATGGAAAAAAGAGAAAAAAGAACCAAGTATCTGGAAAAAAAGAAAGGAAAAAATAAAAGAAAAAAATTTAACTCTTTGCTGAGACCGTTATATGACCTAGTAGTGTTCCTCAACCAGGGGAGGTAATCAGGGAGGTGTTTTACAGATACTGTTGAGGTCATTTTAAGCATGTTTGCTGATGCTGAAAGGCCTCTAGATGTTTGGCTCCTTCCATACTAAGTGATTCATAAGTCTCAAATCATTAGCCAACTTAAGATGTTTCACATTTTGTAAATTTGTATTCATGCTCCTACAAAGCGAACAGCAATGGGCCAAGTACGCAACCTTGAGGAGTGCCAGGTCTCAGCAGTTTATTTGTTCTTGTTTTTGTTTTTTCCCAATCTGGATTAACTGTGGTCTTACAGTCTGTTGCGTTCAATATTTAATGTTCTTTGTGCCATTGACTCCAGTTTTATTTTGTATTTCACAGTATGCAGTGGAGATGGAGGCCAAGCTGGATCAGCTTCGCTCTCTGGTGGAGGCAGCTGATCGGGATAAAGTGGAGCTGCTCAACCAACTAGAGGAGGAGAAGAGGTAGGTCCTTCCTTCTGCCAAACTCATCAAAGTGGTTCGACAGGCTTATCTGCTGCCCTGTGTGCCACGGTTTGTCCCTTAGTTAGTTTAGTTCATTTTAAAAATCACTGCTTCATTAGAAAAATCTCCCCAGGGGACATAATATAAAAAAGAAACCAAGCTTTAGATGGACCTCTTATTAAAATAAAAAGTTGTTTTTAAGGAAAAGTCCAGTCAGCAAGGAATAATCAATGGGTCATTATTTATATGTAAAACCAATATGTTCTCGATGATTAAATTAATTTAGCGTTAATCAGTAAAAAAAAAAAAATTGCCCAATTATAGTAACCCCTCACTCCTGATATCTTCTGGCAGTGACGTCACGGTGCGGTAAGCCTAGCAACATTCTCCCTGCATTACAAACGGAATCAATGGGAACTACTAGACACATCTGCAATCAACAACAATTATTGAAGATTTCCAGAGGACTTCACTATTGAAATTCACCAGAGCTATAGTGAAACTGACAATGCCCCGTGGGTAAAAGTGAAAAAAAAATTAGTTATTTCACCTTTCTGATTCCTGATCCTCCACGGACGGGTTCGTCGTTGGATTGCCGACTTGAAGAGGGAGGATTTGCCATCGAACTCCTGGCCAGAGAAAAAGCATGTTATATGTAGCCAACATTTGGAAGAAGAATGTTTTCAAGATGACTTGGATAAAAGCGCATTGTGACAAACACCAGATACAGAACTGGGACTTGATCAACAGCCAATACCGCATCGTGACGTCACAAACCAGTAGGTGGCAGTAGTGTTCTCTAACAAACATGGATGCCTCCAGTAAGGCACATTCAAACGAAATTACTCTTAATTAAAAACACCTATCATTTATTTAACAGTATGTAATAATTACATATTTAAAGTACTTTTAGAAGTTTGAATTCTGAATGTGAGCGGACTTTTCCTTTGATATTCTTTACCAGATTTCCTGACTATTTTTTTCTTATATTTGACACTATTGTATGTTTGAACAGAAAAGTGGAGGACCTGCAGTTCCGTGTAGAGGAGGCTTGTATCACCAAAGGAGACCTTGAGGTATACATCCTTAAAATAAACACATTTCCCGTTGCAATATATATCAGACTCTTTCTAGAGGTCTGTGTTATCAGCTTTGTTTTTGTGGATCTCCACATAAAGTAACACTGAAGTAGATTTCCATCTTTCCTTTAAAAAATGAGTAAAACTGAACTTTTTCCTGTTCTTGCACTCTTTGAATCCTGCATTTCCATCTGCCCTGTTTATTTATTCATCCTGGAGTTTGGTGAATCTTCTCCTCAAATGTCTCTACTATCTTTAAAACTTCCTGTTCATCCATCATCTGTTCATCCACACATCACCATTCTTGTCTGCCTTCATCTTCAGCTTCGCTTGAACTCTTTGCACTTTTTTTGTTTCTATTCACAGCAGATATAAATAAGTACCTAATTCTGCTGGGATTCTATGCTGAATGTAAAATAAATTATTTTAATTCAGTAAATGAGCCGATAAGTGACCGTTACTGAGATCATAACAATAACCAAAGCTGTGAAATCTTCTTTCTCACTCGCTGCTCTTCTTTTTCAAGCATTCTCTCCTTGTGTTGCACAAAGCTGGCATGTCATTGCAGCGTTGGTGTTTGTTCTCCTTCTCTTCCTGCTCTCTCTTACTAACAGACGCAGACCAGGCTGGAGCATGCCCACATAAAGGAGCTTGAGCAGAGCCTGCTCTTTGAAAAGACCAAAGCTGAAAAACTCCAGAGGGATTTAGAGGACACTAGGGTAATGCAGTCCCACACCAGGGCTGAGTCACGGCCTTTTTTTTCCCCCCACTGGGTTTAATAATGATGCACCGTGAATATTAAGAGAAGCGCACCGCTGAGGCCCTGTGGAAATATTCCACAGCTGTGGCGCAGAGACATAACAGCTCATCTGCATGTAGCTTCCCTTAGAAGCCAGGCTTTCCTAAACAATATGCATGCGTGCATGAGTTCAACTGATATTGTTTGGAGATACCTGCCAGCCTAGAATTTGGCTGGTGACATTTTCTTCTTGCCAACAAATCCCACAGAAGAACTTAACTAACAGATTAATTTGGCTTTAATTCAGCTTTGCATAATGATTCTAATCCCACAAAAACGATTATTTTTTGGGGAATTTTTAGTCTATTTCACAATCTCCATTTTTTAAACTTTTTAAGCACTACAACATAAGAAGATATAAGAGCAGTGGTCAGATGTTATTCTACCCTGCCTGCTATAGGAAGTATTTAATTATTTAGATATATAGTGATGCCATGTTGCCTGTGTGAAATATTAGACTCTTTAAAACAGTATTTTACTAATTTACAACCATGATTAAATTCTGCTTAATTCAAACTTTTTTTTTTCTCTTACATGATGTGAAGAAAGACAGATTTTTAGTGTTTTATTAGGGTCTTATATTTTTAGTCAGAGCTAGTTAAGTATGGAGGATGAGCTCTACTATATTTAAAAATAAATACAGAAATAAATGAATAAATAAATAAGCATACAATTAAATGCCCCCAAAAAACAAATAAATGTAGGTAGAAATTAAATTATACAGTGAGACATAAATTTATTATTATTTATTTCTGTATTTTTAAATATGGTAAAGCTGGTCCTCCATAGTT